TTTTATTTTAAATTTAATTTGATTTACATAAGTTTTAATAATTAAGTACTAATAGGTTTAAATCACAGATTATATGTCTGCATTTTTATTCTTTATATATAATTTAAAAGCAAGCTTTCTTCAATTGAATTTTAATAAAGTTAAAGGCATAGTCTCACTATTAATATTTTAAAAAAAAATAGTTAAGTATTAATTTATATATTATTATTCTTGTGTTTAACAAGTCTTATATAACAATTTCATTTAGATTGAAATAATTTTAAAAAAGATTACTAAATAACCAAATACTGAATGTGATATTGATATATTTATAAAATAACTTATTGTTTATTGTTTGATACTATTCTAAATAGTGTTATTCAGAATTCAGCAACTTTGTTGCTAAACTAATTTAATTTTTTATAACCTACAGTAGCTAAGTCAAAATAAATATGTTATATTTGGCTAGTAGTTTATTCATAGATAAGTATTTGTTTCTTCTCTTTATATTATTTTTTTAACCTCTTTTCTTACTAATCTAGTCTTTTCTTGTCTATCTTAACTCAAGATTACTCTATACTAAATTAGGTTAGAATTTTTTTATTATATTATTAATCTTATTATGTAACTTTTAGAAAGTTATCAATATCAGATTTAGTGATATATAACTAAACAATTATATTTGCAATAGAGTTAATAATTTAAACTAGTTTATTTTAGAACTGGTACTTTATTATAAGTCAGATATTTATTGATACTAGAAGATTTATTTATAACAATAATGACTTTTCTTTTTTATGAAAGTAATGCTCTTTATTTATAATAAACATTTTATTTATATTTGTAATTAATTTATGCTATAAATGCAAGATATTTTTTATACTCAATATATTAACAAAATGTAATAAAAAGCTAATATGTTATTTAACACATATATGGCTAAAGTAGTAGAAGTAACATAAGTACTATAAGTAACATTTTTGTTACTTTTTATGTAACCTTAAATTGGATAAGAATCATCATCTCAATCCAGAAACCCATAATCTCAAAAATCAGTTTACAATAATAACTTGTAGGTTTATTACTAATTTTAAATATTTATATTATTTGCAGTAGTTCTTACATTGTTTTTTTATTAAGTAGCAAGATGGTATTTATGTCTTCATAAAATTGCTAAGCAGAGGCAATGATGTATCAACTAATGCAGGTTATTACTTGGACTAGATGTCTATAATATGGTTAATTTATTTTTATTATTATATAAAATAATAGATTTTTAGAAGTTTTCATTATCAACTATTAGTATATTTCTAATTAACTTCACAGATATATGACTTAAAAAGAGAGTTATATTGAGGTTATGAGTTTTTTCTTTATAAATATACAGGATTAAAAATTGAAAATTTTTTCAAACTTACTTAAAGTATAAAAAATATTATATAAAATTATATAAAATGTACTAAAATCTAATTAAGACAATATTTGCTAAGAGTAAAAAAACACTTTCAAAACCAGTTCTTAAAGCAAAAATGAAGCTTTTAATTCTTAGATTTTTATTCTCTTATTTTTTTATACATGCAATTTTAATTATATATATTGGTAGTAAATTTTATATATTTGTAAATTTATCCAAATTCTATATCTCAACAAAATATCAAAAACTTGAGTTTTTTATTAAATTTTATAAATAATGCTTCAAATAAAAATTAGTAACATCTAAACAATTCTTAAAATTTTTTAAGGTTTATTTTGCATTTATGTACTTTTGTTCTTGCAGAAAGTATTATCAATTTCTATATTACAATTTAAGCAAATAAAAGACAGAACTGAAAAAGAAATATTTGTATTTAGAAAGGTAATAATGACTACTAAACAGAAGAAATACAAATTCTTTTAGAAATCAAAGGTTCTAAAAGGTTAGTAATAAAATTCATTGAAAAATTCTGTTTTCAAATAGAATAGGATGTTGTAGTTAGATTTGAGTATAGAAAGAATTAACAAAAATAATTAATAGAAAATTATAATTAGATTGTTTATTAATTTAAGAAATGTTTTGGTTAATATTAAAAATATTAAAGTATTGGATAAGTTTTTTAATTAATTTAATAGTATAATCAAAATTTTTAAATAACAGATATAGTAGAGTATTATAAGAAGAGTATAGATAGTTATAACTGTATTTAAAAGAAATTTTATTAGAGATAATAAGTGTAGCAGAGTGGAAGATAGAGCAATAAATTTTGTACCAAGTAGTTTTAATACTTTTATTAGTTTTTATATATTGAGAAGTTTTGTACTTATAGAATTGTTAAATTAAAGTGTCTATAAAGAAATCCTATTTTACAAAGATCATAGCTTTATAATTTAAGATATAATAACTTATGACAATATGCTTTTAAAAGAACTTGATATAGGTATTAAAAAAAATTCAAATAGAAAAAAGGATTAAATAATTACTAAAAATAGAAGTATGATTGTTGTCAAGATTATATAAAAGAAGAAATTATATATTAAATTAGTTAGTTTAAATATAGTCAATACAATTATTATTGGTATTGTTAGATTAAGTAAAGTATTATTATTAAAATAGGTTCTAACATTATACTAATTGAAGTAATTAAGAAAATTTATTAGTTTATATTTAGAGAAGAATTATTAGTATTATCTTGTATATTGAAGTTTTCAAGAACAATAAGATGAAGATAAAGTTAAATAACTTATTGTATCTAATTAATTACAGTATTTTGAATTTGATTACAAATAAAAATGTCAATAAATAATAAGTATACAGAGATGATGTGAAGTTTAATATTGTTATAAAAGAAGATATCAAGTGCAATAGTACTTTCAGAATAAGACTAAATACTATAAATATGAGATTTAAGATAGTTACAGATTATTATAGCAGTACCTTCAATAAAAATATCAGAATTAGTTTAATAATATATTTGTTATTATAAAAGAATAAATTAGTTTTGTTAGAAATTTTAGTTTCAGTAATCTTATAATAAATATATCATTATTGAGTCAATAATCTTATTAGACTTTTTTTTTGTATTAGCTTATTAAAATCTTTATTATTATATATAACAATAATTAAGTATAGATAATAAGAGTTAGGATCAGAAAGAATAAAGAAGAGCTATTATCAGAAAAGATTAAAAAAGAATTATTTAAAAATAGATGAGAAAATAAGATAAAAGAGAAAAATTATAAAAGATGAATAAGAGATAAAAAAGAATAATGATGTAATTTGATAAAAGTAAATTATTTATAAAATATATATAAGTTTTATAATAAATAGAGTTTATAAAAAATGTAATATTAAAGACATTATGATTATAATTGTATTTATCAATATGTTATATAAGAGTTTAGATAATTTGATCATATAGAAAGAAAAGTAGATTGTAATAAAGAAAAATTTATTAAATTATATATAAAGATTATAAGAAATTAAAGATATTATAAATAAATTTCAAAATTGTTTTCTATAGAATTGATTACTATATGCTTGACTCTTATAACTGTACAAGATACCATATTCTGTTCTGTATATTAGATCTAATTATTATTAACTTAACTTTTCATATATAGAAACTTGACTATCTGTCTTCATATATTATCCATCTTACTAATTGTAATTAGTTGTATCTTTTAATAAAATGATAACTATATTTATATGTTTGTAGAAAACAAATAGGTTTGTTCTTGTTTTTGTTTAATATTTGTATAAGTAATTATGTTAGATAAACTAAGTAATCTCTATTCTATATATTTATATTAACTCTTATATAATTTTATTTTGTGTTTATACTAACTATTTTATAATGTTCAGAAGTATATTTATATATATCAACTTGTATTCCTAATTGTAAACTTCCTGCAATTATTGTCTTTTAGATATAGATAACATACTTAAAATTTTTCAAATAATCTTCTTAATTAATGTTCTTTTAAATTTTTTTTAACACAAGTCTATTACAGGTTTGTTACTAACTTTACTTGGTTTGTACCACAAATTACAACCAGTAAGCCAACATTTTTCTAATTAATATTTTATCCAAGGCATGCCAATATTTTTAATTAGATTAACATCTTACTTAAAACATATAAGGTTTAATATTTAATGTTCATTACTAATAGAAATTGAACCTTGAACTTGTTATTTGGATGCAACAACTTGATTACTTTACTAAGTCACCACACCCTTTATTATACCATGCATTTAAGATTGTATAATTTGTCAATTATATAATAAAAATAAAATAAAAATACTACTACTGTATAAAGTAACTTTTAATAATTATTTAGTAAAATATCTTTTGAATTTGTTAAGTTTTGAACTTATTATAAATTTTATAAAGTGTACTACTGGTAGTACAAAATGTGAATCTAACCATTAATAAATAACGATACCGATTTATTTTAATGATTCAAAATTTATGGTCTCTGATTGGATAAATTTCAATGTCACAGTATAAAATGATCTACAAAAATTAGCTAATCGAAATAGTCGAAATGAAAGCCCGCTATGCTTATAAGATCAGATCATTCCGCCAGTACATGTTATGATTATATAATCCCACACCATTTTTATTAAAATAAAATGGTGTGGGCTTATAATCATAACATGTACTAGCGGAATGATCTAGTATTTTCAATAATTTTTATATGTTGCACACCGGGTGAAGAATCAGTCGTGTAACATCGACGGTTCCTATTACAGGATTATAATCATGACATGTACTAGCGGAATTGTAAGGATCAGTTGTGTAACATCGACGGTTCCTCCTGTTGGTGTCATTATACCTCTCTCAAAGTGCAAATGAACAACCCGATTTAATAACACTGGGCTGTTTTGCACACTTATAGAGATGTTACGATACTTGTGTTATAAGTGCTGGCATATATAGATAAATTAACATTAATGATATTCTTTTATCATTCTGGCTATAATGAAGATTCAATTGCATAATTTGGCACTCGCGGTTATTATATGTTTTTTGACCGTTTTGCCAATGAGAAATACGCAAAGTATCATAAGATATCCAAACATCACTTATCCAGAAACATCCATTCAGCCTAATCTAACTGGAATTCAACCTCACATTATTGATATTGCGCATTATAATGATAATAGAAATATAGAAGTTGTTCGTATCTCTCGGGTGAATTATATCTCTGGCATTAATAGATGTTTTGAACAGAGGCTATTACTCCGTGTTATTCTAGCGAATGGAAGTGTTATTCCAATAAATTTAGATAATATTGAAGAAATACAAGATATCAATTATTGCTATGTTAGTGGTATTGAAAATCCTATAAGCATATACCCATTATTTGATCAATATATTATAGTAACATACACTCATGCAACTAATACCTCTGATAATACAACTTTTATGGATAGAGGTGTGGTTTTAGATTGGAGTGGGAAAAATATAAGGTTTGTTAAGAGTATATGATAATATACTGTAAGTACACAGTAACTCTTGATATAACATATTGTTTGGGCAATTAGAACGAAATTAATCAAAATCCACAATATTGTGGATTTATTGATAAATCCATTACATCAAGTAAAATTTATTATGATATGACTTAAACTTTGATCGTTGTATCAAGATTTTACTTAGAGAGTCTGTTATATTGAGAGTCACTGTATTTAGAAGCAGTAAAAATTGATTGTATGCTAATTTATTATACTGCAGTACACTCGATTTTGGACCAGCATATTTATCGCCGGGAACCACTATTTGGCATCCAGATCAACTTATACGAAATAATATCATACCGAAAAATGGATTTTTATATTTATCCGCTGTTAGTGGAACAAATAATTTGGAATGGAAACAATATGAATAGTATGTTTTATCCTAATGTAGATTATTTACATACGTTCATGATTTAACTTTCTTTTCTTTTTAGTAAAGGGGAGGGGAGATTCGCTTTATTACATAATGACACTTTTGATATTTTGGATAATAATTTAAACACCAACTTTCAATTTACTGTGCTTTCAACTCTGAATGGTGGATATGCGATTGTATACGTTAATTCGACTAATAACATATACGCTAATTCAAATAATAACCATACAGCTTCTGACCAATTTACAGCAGGAATTTATGTAACATTATTAAATTATAATCAAACGAAAACAAGTCAAAAACTTATTTTGCATGAAATGACTACTCCTAATATTTCATTCTCTGGAATTTCTTGTTCTGTCAATTACGATTTCATGGGCCATACATGCATGATACTTGTACAACAGCTTAATGTCGAACCGAATAACATAACGACAACCAAGTTTTTTATTAAAATAACTTTTCATTCCACTGGGTCTGTGACGCAATTGAGGCAATACAATATACCTATTGATAATGCCTTTCCATGGCTTAAAATACTTCGGTTTGGAGGATTCATGTATGTGTCACGGAAATATAATGGACAAACTTACAATTTCAGCTTTAGTCTTTACGATGAGTCTGATCAGCCATCCAATTGGACGTTTCCACAACAGCCAATTATTTCAAATATCTATGGTTCGTTTGATTTATTGCCAAACAATACGATGTTAGTGGCACTAAATGAATTATCTACATCTTGGACTCTTCTTTCGATTGATCTTCCGTCGCTTATTCCGGCTCCGCGTTTTGGTAAGATATTTTTGGAATTTAAATAATAACTGGTATCAAATTCTTTTTAACTTAAATATCTTTTATATTATATATTATAGATAGCGGTTATGGTAATTTACAAATAAAAACGACATATCCTCTAAGAAACACCAAGGATCTGCCTTTGAATACTGATATGATCAAAATCACATTCTTTGATCGAGTTTCATTTTCGTCCTCGAATGCTAATTTAACTATCTATCAAACAATTAATCAAACCGATGTGCTTCGGCAGTTGATTAATTCAAAAAATTGTACTGGATGCAATGCTTTAGACAATGTCATCATGCTTAATGTGCTTAACTGTACATTTAACGATCCAGGTGGGCATTATTATATAAAGATGGATAATAATTTTGTAAAGAATGAATATGATGAATCCATAGCAGGAATTGATGCCAACATATGGAGGTTTCAAACAGGTCATATTATATAGTTTTTTGGGTTTTTAAAGTTATTTATTAATATTGAGTTCCTTTAATTAATTAATGCCAATAGAAAATAAACAATATGCTCATGTAAGTTTATTAATTTATTTAAGAATTATCTGTATATGCTTAAAATTAACTCAAAACCTATGATCAAGTTAGGAGATATTAAAGGCATACTAAGATTGACAATTACTGGGTCTCAAGATTTCCAAGGATTGGATGACTCAGGAAGACAAAACTTTTTCAACACATTAATAGAAGAACTCACACTTATAATTCCTGTAGAGAAAGGCAGATTAGAATCAAATGGGCATTATCAACTTGATACTTCGAAAATTCTTATCTCACTACTCATTCGTGAGGCAAAAGATGAAAAATTGACTGCCAAAGATATAAAGAATGATTTACACCAGTTAATAATAAATAAAGCGTTTACGAGTATATCAGGGGGAAAGGCCACAAATAGCTTAGATGAAACTTACGGATTTCAACAAGCTCGTAAGAACAATTTTATGTTTTGGTTTTATGACGTATTTATTGTAATATAGTTTTCGTATTGTAGAGAGTATAGGGATGGAATACAGTGCACTAATAATTGTCGTGATTATGACTTTCATCATACTCCGCTTACTATCTTCTATACTTAGATATAAGGTGATTTTGTTTATTAAATCTTTTACTTAAGATGATCGCAATTATTAATGAAATTTTATTTTAAAAAGTTAAAATCTAAAAAATTTAATGCAATAAGCTCTACAGCATTAAGGCTAGGATTGATTATCCCTAATTTTATTCTTTCAATTCTTTTTGTTGTTCGTAACTCTAATGATATACCAATGCTTCACTTACCAAGGTATTTTTACTAAGTAATTGTATTCTTATTGGCATTATCGTCAACTTTATTTTAACTCTTTTAAAACCAAATTATGATTTGAAGTGTATTTGTCTTAAGTGTCCCGTTATTCATCAACTTCTGTATAACAATATCTATGATTTACAAAGGAATTAAAGATCCCGCTATTGGAGAAAATTTTAAAATATGGATAATTGAATATAGAGGTTTAGTGACTACGCTTGTTATTTTAACAGCAACTGATTATGAATATTTGACAATTTTGAGAGATGTACATATTTTTACTAAGAAATTATATCGATACGAGGAAATCAATATATTTAATATATTTAAGCATATATTCGGAGTTGCGATTATATGGGGAGCATTTATTGATATCTTTCTTAGAAACATTCCACAAATCATTGTTCTAGCAGTGAGTAAATTTATTATATTTATTATATAATTACTCATGAGTAAATAGAAACCTGAATCATTTATTAATTTATTTCTTGTTAAAATATCATATTTTCGTATATCATATAAATAGATCTATTATTCCTATTCCATTATTGCAGATGATATAGTTCCACTCCTTTTGCTTGTTACATCTTGCTTGAAGATTTTTGTGACGATCTTTAATTGTGCGATCAAAAGAATATCCTTGATCATTACCCAGTGAGTATGATTTTTATTTTAGCCTATCTTTAATAAATAATCATTATACTGATCAAACAAATTCATTAGACGGTTAGTGTAAAATTCTATTAGATTGATTTCTAAAACTACAACTATTCCTAAAGTTTTATCAATACACATTAAGGGAGTGAGTATTAGAATTCATTTATAAACCAGTATTGTTTTTAATGCTATTAAATAAATTTATTCTCAATTCTTGGAATTGCCAGTTTGTGAGTATAAAATTTCGATTATTTAATAAATGCCTCAACATACGTTAATATTATTTCTTAATTATTCTAAATAAGTAAGTAAGTAGGAAGGTGTTGATTGATGATGATTTGTAAAATATCATTTAATAAGCATTCACTATTAATTTGACATTAACTGATTAATTGAATGTAAAGGTTAATATACAGCTAATATTATTCATCCTTTAATTAAAATTTAAATATAATTAAGAGAGTTAATATACAATATTACATTTAAAGATATAATTTTTATGGAAAATGTGAAAAATGTAAACGACACTATATTTCTCCAACTTGGTGTCAATCATGTGATCCTCTAGAAGCAACTAAAGGGTGGTCCAGCGGCAATAAGGATATTGATGAATTTATAAAAGGGTCTCAAATCAAAGTTACTGAATATGAAAAGATGATTGAATGGATTCCATCCAATAGGCTGGTCAGCTTACAAAAGATTAGAGAAGAAGAATCAGAAATGGTGTTTATGGCGACCTGGCTAGATGGTATAAGAGTAATTAAAGGTGAATTTGTAGAATATACACGGTCACGTATTGAGTCATGCGGAGTCAACCTTAAAATACTACATGGTCCTCAAACAAGTAATCAGTTTATAGAAAAAGTAAGCTAAATGATTGTTTACATGTCTTGTCGCGCATTACACGTAGGGTATTTAAATTGCAATAATATTAACACATTTAAATCTTGAGCTTACGGATTATATGCAGGTGGAAGGAAATATTGCATATGGAATTACCCGAGATATAATAACAAATCAATTCATGATGGTGATACCGGACGAATTTCATTCTAAAAGAAACGCTTCAAATGGACAATGTATACACTGTAAACATCATAGCACTTCCCCAGCTTGGTGTCAATCCTGTGACCCTTGGAAAGCGACTCAAGAATGGACAAGTGGAGATGAAGAGATTGATAACTTCATCAAAGAATTTCAGATGAAAGCTACGGAATATGAAAAAGTGATTGAATGGATTCCATATGATAGGCTAATTAATCTACAAGAGATTAAAGAATTCGATCAAGGAATTAAAGAACCTGCTCTAGAAATCAAAGAAGAATCTGATAAAGAAATTGGAAAAGAATCCAATTTAATATTCATGGCAACCTGGTTGAATGGTATACGAACGATAAAATGCGAATTTGGAAAATATACGCAGTCTCGCACTATATCTTGCGTTGATCTCATGAAATTGCACTGCTCTCAAATGAGCACTTTTGATTTTATAGAAGTAAGTTAAATTATTTATTAACTAGTTTTTTACTTAAATAATATGATATAGCTTGGCTAATATATATTATTCGTAAGTTCAAAAAGCATGTGCAATTAGAGAAGTATAGAATACATGGATTAACTCAATGTACAGGAACTGGTCAATACATGCTAGTACTTGAGTTTTACAATGACAAAAGAGTGTCCATTAATGGAACATGCGAGCATTGTAAACGATATAACACTTATCCAGCCTGGTGCCAATTATGTGATCCTCCGAAAATAGCTCAAGAAATGAAAAGTGGTGATAAGAATATTGATGATTGCATAAAGGAATTTCAACTTAAATCTACAGCATATGAAAAAGTTATTGAATGGATTTCATTTGACAGACTAGTAGATATAAAAGTTATTGGTAAGGGAGGGTTTGGAACAGTGTATTCATCAATTTGGTTAGATGGTAAAAGAACGATAGAAGGAGATAATAGTGTGGGTTATGTACGATTTCGTAACAAATCTTGTGTGGTCGCCCTTAAAACATTGCCCGGCTCCCAAACTAACTCTTCCAGTTTTTTGATCGAGGTAGGCTGAATTACTTTAATTATAAATTTACAGCATACGTATCAATACAATCGTATAAATTTTTTATTTTATATTTTTCTAGTTTAAAAATCACATGCAATGTAGATTAGAAGGTAGTGAACTTGAAATATACGGGTTAACTCAGAATGCATAAACAGGTCAATATATGATGGTATATCAATATGCTAATAGAGGAAACCTTCTTGAATTTTTAACACAACATTTTAGAGAACTTACATGGCAAAAAAAATTAAAGCAACTTGCGGATATAACTTTTAATTTGTCTAGAATTCACGAGGCAGGACTTATTCATAGTGACTTTCACAGTGGTAATATTTTGCTAAGCCAAAAGATTAATGGAACTATAGTTTCATATATTACAGACCTAGGATTATCTAGAAAACAAGATGAGTGTGGTTCAAAAGCAATTTATGGGGTCATGCCATATGTTGCGCCAGAAATTCTTATGGGATATCAGCATGCACAAGAGGCTGATATTTATGGTTTAGGTGTTATCATGGCAGAAATGTCAACTGGAAAAAGGCCTTATGAAATGATTGAATTCAATAGTGATCTTGCAGTAGATATTTGCAATGGATTGCGACCAGAATTCTCGTATGGGACTCCCGAGTGTTATGTTGAATTAGCCAAGCAGTGCATGGATTCCGATCCACATAATCGGCCTACTGCTAAGTATATCCATAAGAAAATTGTTCAATGGAAAGTAATTATTGAATCAAAAAATTTAACAAATGAAGAACTTAATATAAAAAATGAATTTATCAATGCTGACATCATAATTAAAAAAGCATCAATAAAGTCTTTATCACTGCATCAAAACAAGTATTGTAGCAAATTAATTAACGTACAAGAAATAATCCAAAGCATTAAAGGTACAACAGAGCTAATAGTATTTTACATTTTTTACATTTTTATAACTAATAATTTATTTTGTTAGTGTCTACAAAAGTTAATTGCCCTAATGTGGAGCAGTTTGCAAGTTCGTTCCTTGAACTTCCACAAAATATTAATGATTTATTAAGTTAGTATATTTTTCTAATGTTTGTCTTTAATATTTTTTTACTAATATAATTTTTAAAAATTCGAAGATAATAATGAATTCCAAAAAGAATAATTATATTTAAAAATTCATTGTTTTTACTATTATTGGGGCAAAAAAGAAACTTAACAGAAAAAATTGTAAATTATTAAAAAGATGTACAAAAAGAATCAATATTTATTTAACTTTGAATTTATTTTATTAAACGTTACTAAGCTTGACAATTGTTTAATAATTATAAACATACCTTAAATAAAGTAATATTTTGATATTATTATTATATTATTATTTAGATATAATTAGAAACTATAAACTAGTATAAGTCTAAAGTACAAGTATAATATTTTCTAAAAATAAGTTATTTTTTGAAGAATTAAAAATAAAAATAAAAATAATTTATAATTAATTTTTTTTAATATTACTATAATGCATCATAAGGGTTTAACATTATAGTTACTATACAGGTTTTGCATACCAAATTTGTACAAACAGACAGTCAAATTCGTACAAATTGATAGTCAAATTTGTACATAACATTTTTAATTAAATCCCAATATCTCGTGACCTAGTAACTTAAATTACATAAATTTGGTACTATTTGATTCATCTAATTTTGATGAATCAAATGGTACCAAATTTATATAATTTAAGTTACTAGGTCATGAGATGGTGTGATTTAATTAAAAGTATTATGTACAAATTTGATTATCAATTTGTACAAATTTGACTGTCAGTTTGTACAAATTTGACTGTCTGTTTGTATGAACTTGGTATGCAAAACCTATATTTCAAAATTGTTTAATTAACTAAGATCAGATATACAAAGTAAAAATATTTAAAACTCTCAAAAACCTTATGTTAACCTAAATTTGGGTCTTTATATCTGATCTATTTTAAACTTGTAAGTATATTCTAATCTTAATTTTTATAAAAAAAATATAAATATTATAAATATTATTAATGTATTTTATAATAATTAAATTTTTTTTTTTAAATATTAAAGGTAAGGTCATGTTTTTAACTTTATTAAAATTCAGTTGAAGTTTTTATAAAAAAAAATTTGTTTTTAAATTACATATAAAAAATAAAGATTCAGACCTATAATCTGCAATCTAAACTTACAAAAATGGCTAAGACTCATCTAGATTTGAGTTTGAATAATAATATAAGAGAAAGAGGTGTAATATTTAATTTATTAAATAGTTCAAAAGTTAATTTTAGTAATAATTTGTAATATTAAAATAGGAGATAAGAGTAAACTAAAAGAAAAATTATTAGATAAGTTAATAAATAATATAGTTTAAGACTGTACAAAGTATATTTGTTTATATATAAATATATATATTTTTGTATTAAACTAGTTTCTTTTGAAGTTAAGGTTTTTTATTCAGTAGTTAGATTATAAGAACTCATGGCCAAGACCTCAAAGGATTCTCTTTACATTAGAGAATACAACTAGTCATACATACATATTTAATATCTAATTAAGTAGTCTGCTGATGGTTCTACACTAGCTATCATACCTGCAATCCAACTAGGGGTGTTGCCTATTTAAACTCTCTGTACTGCAATCCTTACTGTATTACTAGATCATCTCTATTATGTATGTCAGTTGAAAAAGTCTAGATGCTTATCTGTATCCTTAGGACCCTATATCTTATTTCATG